AAAACAAATAAAGACTTGTATAATTTATTATTTTTTGTCTTTAGTTATACAATAATTAAATGCCTTAACTTTAACAACATAATATAAGCTTAGGAGCATCCGCTACAAGATGTCGATAGTTTCCATACAAAATAAATATTTGTTTTAAAGTATCGCCCTGATTTCGGCTCAATGAATTTGGCCCCCCTTGTTTTGATTTTCGGATTTTTTTATTTTTAATTATTTGTTTGTCGTTTGTTCGTTAATGCTCGAATGTAAAAATTGGTTGTTCGTCTTTTATTTATTTATAATTAATTAAACAAATGATCACAATTAGCTAATCTGAGCGATAAAAATAAAGATATCTAGTAAGGGGAGCCCACTTAAGGGTGATCATTTGTTTAATTAATTATAACTAAATAAAAGACGAACAAACAATTTTTACATTCGAACATTAACGAACAAACGACGAACAAATCCACGATCTAGAGATCTTTTTTGCCACATACCATCCGGCTATGGAATGAGCTCCCCTCCACGGTGTTTCCCGAGCGCTATGACATGTCCTTCTTCAAACGATGCTTGTGGAGACTATTAAACGGTAGGCAGCGGCTTGGCTCTGCCCCTGGCATTGCTGACGTCCATGAGCGACGGTAACCACTCACCATCAGGTGGGCCGTATGCTCGTCTGCCTATACGGCAATAAACAAAAAAAGGAAAAAAATTAAAAATTAAAAAAATCCGAAAATCAAAAAAAGGGGTGCCAAATTCAGTGAGCCCCTGATTTCTACGTCACACTCTTCAAGGTCACATTGTGTGATTTGTTTGCTGTCACTGCCATCTGTTGGCAAACAATATTGAAAACACAATGATGGCAAAATGCTATTAATATGTTTTAGTGTGATCACTAGATGGCGTATCCACGAGTTTTTTTTACAAAATTTAACAAATTACCTATTTACCAAATATAATGTAAATAACAAAATATTCTCTTAAAAGATGTAAATTTATTTCAAATGTTTCTGTTGTTTTTTATCATAAATATTACAATTTCGTTTGCCTAAGTACTCAACATTACGTCACGTTCGTGACGTCAAGGACAAGTGTTTTTCCTTTTATTCGTTGATTTTACATTTTGCTGCGTAACAAATTATGGCAAATAGTGGATATTTTGACGAAAATAGTGATGTTTCTGCTATACTATTCGATTTAGATAACACTTTAATACAAACAAGAAAAGGAGATACTAAAGCTTGTAATAAGGTGTGTATATTTTGATATTTAGTATTCTTTCACTTTGACATTGCCACGGTCATAGAAGCATGGGTATAGGTGATTGACAAAATGAATACTGTCAGTCTCATTTTACGCGCTAAGTAATATTTTACGATTTTGATTCATTTAATATACCAAAGGCTTACCTTTAGAGCTCACTTCAGAACCACTGCTGCATGCATAGCATGTAGATATTAATGTAGATCATTTACGTTCCAGTGAGCTATAATTAGAATAACATAGTAAGAGAACGTGAGCTCGACGTCCAGATTTAGCTATTTTGGAAGAGAACACACTCTAATTATAAACGTGATGTGGATCGAGTCGCTGTTTGAACGATCCGACTGCGATTCCGCGCACTCAGTGGAGCCCTATTGCGTTTTGTGAGCGTGTCGTGTGTTAGTGACAATGGGTGATGTATCAGAACCAATCAAGAAATGCATACTCATCTTAAAAAATGCAAGAAGCGACACCGAAAAATTTGCTGCCCTGTTTATGGTGACGAAACTTGTGAAAAGCAAGGACTGCAATTCTACAGCGAAGAAAGCACTTTTTGAAGCCATCGGATTTCAATTCCTCAAGAAGTTGTTGACAAGCAACAGTGTAGAAGATGATTGCCCTCCGTCTGTATATAAATCGGTGGCATTATCTGTACTCACCAACTTCTGTAATGAACCTGAACTTGCAACCCATCCAGAAATGCTGGCAAACATACCAGTATTCCTTGATATAGTACAAACATCAGATAATGATGACTACGATGATAACCTTATCATTATTAGTGAAGCGTACACCTGCCTACAATGCATAGCTGAACATGAAACTGGCCAAAGAGCTCTTATTGATGTTGGTGCTATAAAAAAAATGTCTGAAATCTACTCTCACCAAAGCTTTCAGACAGATGAAGCACTAAATATCCTTGTGAAATTGGTTAGCCGTTATGGGCCTGCTGCGTGGGGAAGCGATCCTAAACCATTCCATGCATTGGTAAACAAAATTGCTTTAGATTTTGCAACAGATCAGTCGGAGAGGAAATTTGAATTAGCCACAGTACTTAGTGCACTCTTGTACAGTTGCAATAAATCTACCGTTTTGCCTGGATCATCAGATGAAACATGGCCTCAAAGTATCTACAAAGCTCTTCATGATATTCTCACAAGTAAAATAGGAAAAAATCAGAGAGATCCTGCTTTGAAGTTAGCTGCCAACATTGTTGATCTGCTTGGTATAGAATGGACTTTTAATGATGAAGAAAATCCTAAGAAATTCTTCCTACTTCTTTTACAACTTTGCGCCATTGAAGTAAGAATGCAATTGGAAGATAGAAGCTTCAAGCAAGCATTTGCTAATGGAGAATTAGTAACTGCCTGTTTCATTGTCCTGGAATTGTCTATCAACTACATGGCTACTGATCAATTGGACTTGGAGCAAAAAGAAAAACAATCTGTTTACACTAGCTTAAAGGGAGCATTCAATGCTGTAGTTTCATTACTGACAAAAGTTTCTAATGATAAAAACAAGGATAAACTTCCAGAAGCTGAAAAAATATTTGTTGGAGCAATGGTTAGAGTGCTGTTTGCCTGGATAGCTCAAGAGACAACAGCGATGAGAGAACAAATCTACGCTTTACTGCCTTTTATGTTTTCCCTTGCCAATGATTCGTTTCATGCATACAGATCGAGAAAACTCGCTGAGAAAAATAAATCTGAAGGTGAACCCTTAGATGATAACTCCGGACTCATGGGCCAAATAGATTTACTTCGTCTGATGTTACCAGCACTTTGTCACTTAGCTGTTGAAGATAAAGCCCGAGATATCATGTTTAACCTAAAACAGGAAGACATCTTATATGAAGCTATGAATTTCCACTGGTCTATTGTGCATTATAAGAAACCTCCTATTCCTAAGTCAGAAAGAGGCAAAGCTAGGACTCAACCAGAGCCAGAACTGGATCCCAAGTTATTGGAAGATATGAAGGATTCAAGAGCTGCCATGGTTAGCCTGTGCAACATTTTCATGAACCTGACAGTGTTGGCACCTAAAATTGTTGACAATAGCATGCTGTTTAACACTCTACTCAAATTCATTTTCAACAATTTACCAGAATTGAAGGACATCCCTGAAAATCTTGTCTTACATGGACACTTGGCAGTACTGGGATTACTTTTGTTCAAACAACAAGCAAACAAAGTGAAAAAGAATGATTTTTCAATTTGTAGATATATTCAATCAACTATCAGGTTTCTTTGGGATGCATACAATGTAGATGAATCAAATGATCCGACTGCTTTAGTTGTGTCCATGAGCTATAAGGAACACTGGAATGAAATTGCAGATTTATGGTTCCTAGGAATGCAGACAATGAGTGGAGTATTAACTATAGTTCCTTGGATATCAGAATTTGCGATTGAAAGTGGTTGGGCCGGTGGAATAATTGAAATGCTTGTGAAAGTTAAGATTGGTACACTGGCTCCAAACGTTAAGTCAGCCTTTGAAGATTTTCTTTGTAGATTAGTTGACTCAAACGAAAGTGTTATACCGGTCCTCAAAAAAGCAGGCGCCCTAAAAATGTGTCGGAATCATCGACTAATGGATCTTGGCAAGAAATTATTTGGTGACTAAGCAATTTATTTAATAAAATTTTACTTTTCGTAGAAAGGTAACAATGTTGTATTCAGTATTTACTTCTAAACAGTTCATTTTCAATAAGTCAACATAATCCAGTTTTGATTCACTTGTCAATATGCATTATGTGTGAAACATATTGCAACATTTAATAACTAACTGAAAATATTGTTTTGTATTTTTGAAATAAAAACTTCAAACGCAATTCCAAGCTTGTTTTCATTGCATTCATGAAGTTCGCGCCTTAAAATACATATAAAAAATACATACAGATATACAATGACTGTAAACACTAGAGTATCAGTTTTCAACTGCGAACCTTTGCCAACCAAACTTCAGGTGACTGAACACCCAGACAACGGTCGTTAACCCCATGCTATTTCAGGATTACAGACACTTCTGTGTAAGCTAACACACTACACGAACCACATAATACTTCATAACAAAGATTCGTCTTCTATGTCACATTAACGTTTTCTGAAGGACACGATTACGGCTAAGCGGGGGCTCAATTACGACCCTGGTATTGTTTATTTTCATGGTCATCAACTTTGCCGTATGCTGGTTTGGCCTATAAAACAAAAACTACATTTGATAGCTTCCGACATAAGAAAATGTATATTTTTGTCTGGTTGTTTATTTGTGTTCAATGCGTTCGCATTTTCATTATCCCATTAAATAGAAGCTTTGTACAGCTGGAAGATAACATGTTTTTTGCATATCTTCCATAGCACCATCCGTATACAATATGTACATAAAGCTCGTAAGTTGTTCAAACTAATAGGTAATTCAGTATTGAATAGAAGTTTAGCAAATATTTTAACGTTTAGAAAAAGACTACTAAAATACCAAAATATTCCATAAATAGTCGTAATAGATAAAGCCCGATTATACCTACTGATAAAGATGTTTAACGTATGGTGTTTAATTATAGGATTAGTGTGTTTTAACATGTTTCTCATAATTTTCATATCCAAAATATGCAGCTCGTGGAACTACTGCAAAATGAATATGGCCTTCCCAAAGACATGGCTGTGGAGAGCGGTTCCACATTCCTACGCGCCTTCAGGGCTCGACCTGATGACGAATCGTACGCATTACACGAATGGCCAGCGCATCTATGGCGTAACTGCTTACCAAAAAACTACAAACACATCGCCAGTAAGTATATAAAGTTGAAGACTTTCTGTTTGTCATCCTCGTTTAGGTTAAATGACTTTCACTAAATAAGGTCTTCTCTGAATTAGTCTACGTCGGTAAAACGTTAGCGTTTGTTACTTGGCGCATCGCCCAGAATGTGCATGTTGTGCTAATTGCACGTAATGTTCCAACTACAGTAGGTGCAAATCTAATTTAGATGCTTATCGATATTTTCACACGAGTTCCTTGTCGCGTTACGGAGTACTGCCCGCTCTATTTGTCACATACGAAAGAATAATGAGAGAGAGAGAGAGTATTCTTTATTGTACACCAAAAAAACAAATAATACAAGTGCGATACATTAAAAACAAAAAGTACAATTGGCGGTCTTATCGCTAAAAGCGATCTCTTCCAGACAACCATCAGGTGGACAAGAATCATTTAATAATCATAAAGTTAATCGGATTCAACGTAAATAAATTGTGAGTCCGCACGGGTAGGTACCACGACCCTGCCTATTTCTGCAGTAGTAATGCGTTGAAGGGTGGGACAGCCGTTGTAACCTTAGAACTCATATCTCAAGGTTGGTGGCGGCATGATGTAGATGTCTATGGGATTTAATAACCACTTAACACCAGGTGGACTGTGAGCTCTAAATCCATTTAAGCAATAAAAAAATTAAATAAAAATCCTGTATTCTAAATAATTATTAAGGACTCCATTATAATGCCTCAATCCCTACCGGTTACTTTGCAAAATCGTAATGGTGAACAATGATAGGATAGTAAAGGTGCTGTAGTAATGAACCTCTACAAGATCTTTAGCCAGAGAGCCAACATAAGCAGCATGCATCAAGATAATCCAAAGTTTCTTTTTTCTCCCACTTATCAAAATCTCAGTGCTTGCTGTTATTCAAATGTAATAATATTATTGTTTACATTACTAAAAAATAAGATATTCTATATATATTTTTTTTTTATTGCCTAGATGCGTGGACGAGCTCACAGCCCACCTGGTGTTAAGTGGTTACTGGAGCCCATAGACATCTACAACGTAAATGCGCCACACACCTTGAGATATAGTTCTAAGGTCTCAGTATAGTCACAACGGCTGCCCCACCCTTCAATACGAAACGCATTACTGCTTCACGGCAGAGATAGGCGGGGCGGTGGTACCTACCCGTGCGGACTCACAAGAGGTCCTACCACCAGTAATTACGCAAATTATAATTTTGCGGGTTTGCTTTTTATTGCACGATGTTATTCCTTCACCGTGGAAGTCAATCGTGAACATATGTTAAGTACGTATTTCATTAGAAAAATTGGTACCCGCCTGCGGGATTCGAACACCGGTGCATCGCTCGACAACAAATGCACCGGACGTCTTATTCTTTAGGCCACGACGACTTCAATCGACGACGATATCAATATTTAAAATTACTATAACCGGAAGAAAACATGAGTATTACTGAGCACCGACCAAATAAGTATATAGTACTGTTGCTGAGCACAATTTCAATAATCTTCAATAATATAACAATAATTAATCTTTGAAACGAGTCGTCTATTATCAAAGGTGGCAATCTGTGCATTTGGACAAAAAAAATTTATTGATATGTCAATACAGATTGATTTGAATATAATCGTCTCCTTCAAAGAATACGGTTCAAAACCTGCATTAAATAAAGGTTAATAGTTAACCTGTTATTTATCTATGATGTCGTTCCGAAGAGTTTTGTGACTGCCAATGGAATACGAAGTCAATAATTCGTTTTTCTGATTTACTAATCATTGTCCAAAAGTCAGATTGCCGGCTTTGATAATAGTCGACTCAAACGTTAGTTATGAAAATTAGGAATTACGAGGCGTTTCCCTAGCCGAGATTATAATCATGAATCTTAAAAATGTAACGATACGTGAATGGGAGTGACGTGTAATATTAAATTAGGATCGAATATACATTTATATATTTAGAACGTCTTACAAACGTTCTTTAATAAACATCGTAGGTTTTTCAAAATATATATTATCACTTTTACAATCATTCCAAAAGCGAATCATGTTTTGAATGAATAAGTATGATAGGTAGGTACATAATATGATCTTACATAGATACTAGTGTCAGGATAGAGTTCAATTTACCAACGAGCACTCACAAGAAAGAGTCGAACAACCTGACTTACACCTGACAACCTGAATTAAAAAAAGGTTGATGTCCTTTAAAATAAAATTCAGGGTGGTGCAATATGCCTGGACATTATGACGTCATCAACGTCATCAGCCCGGTCTTCCACCGCTGGACATAGGCCTCTCCTAATTTAAACAACTGAGCTTCGGTTCTCCTCGTCTTTTTCTCGCTTGTCACCCCTATATCAATTACATCACCCGGTAAATTTGATAGCCTCCTCTTTTTAAGATTCTCGATTTATTGTGCTAAGACGCGAAATCAATTTTAGTTAACGTAATTGGTGCTACCGACTGTTATTATTACCATCACGTTGCATTGAAAAGGTTTAGGTTAACTTACGAAATTATTTTCTTCCTCAGAAAGTGTGTCTACCGAATGGCTAAGGCTAAGATTTCGGTATTTGGCTCTCACAAATGACGTAATACATTTACTCGAAACATTGCGGTGAGTTTGAATTGTTTTAATTAAAAATATTTATATTATGCAGAAATAATAATAATACAAATAATATTTCTACATGATATAATATTGAGAACATTGGTATTTTGAACAAGACAGTTACTTTGTTTTTATATAGAATTGAAAGAATTTTATAAAAAAACAAAGAAGTTTAATAATAGCAGAATGTTCTGTTTATACAATTACATCAATTTAATCTTCAATAATGGAGTAAATAAAATTTAAGAAGGTCGCGCTCACCTACCGCCGTCTGCTATTATCATTATCGTGCATGGTGTTATGTGGTAAAACAAAATATAGTTTTTTATTTATTTCTCATCTGGAACATTCAATGACTCTCACACATCTATTGCTCACATCATCAAACCTAATGATTTCATGTTTTATTTTTTATTTTCTTCTAGATCGTTATTGGCTATGCATGCCACATAAGACCAGCGCCACATTGATTTATAGAATGTGACAAATTTAAAGTTAGCGCCAAATGGTTGTGAAGGCACCTTGCCCTATGTAAAAATTAAACGAAAATATTTTATGGCAATCGTAGATTCGTGTCTTTGCAGCTGTGGTGCTAGCTTTGAGCGCATGTTGCTAATAAATTACTTGTTTTTCAACAGTTCAGTTGTCGCTCAACGAGTGACTAAACTCGGGGCGCTGCGTGCATAACACGTAGGTTTGATTATATTTGTAATATGAGGAAGTGCCACATGGAGAAGGTAATACCGTTACCTCAAAACCTTGATTAAGGCGAACCATGGAGATAACTTTACTAGAGCGTTTTTTTTTCTTGTTAAATGGTTTTAATCATTTTATAACACAGTTTCAAGTAAAAAGAGTCTCCATTGTTCTAATTAAAGCCTAAAAATAGCGCATTGTTGAATTAATAAAGCATTTTAAAGAAATTCACAATTCAGCTCAACATAGTGCTAAATTATATTTAAGGACGTAACAAGAATGCAAATTATATGTGAATATCAATTAATATAATACATATAAATTGTATGCAAATAACAAATCACAATTCTCTTGCACGATTTTAACCCTTTTAACATAATTTGTAGAATTTAAATAACTCACAGACGTTAAAGTTGCATATATATATATAGTCGAAATAAAAATGAAAAAATCGAAAAGGATCATATCGTGCAGGACGATTTGACTTTTGTTGTGTAATGTGCTGAATTACAGCATAAGTCAGAGCAGGTAATAACAAATGGCTGCTCAATAAATGTGGCACAGGGAGGATTATCTTCTCGGTCTGATCACGAACGGACCATCGCGAGCTCAATGGCAGAAAATCGAACGCCTCGGGCTTCGCAAATACTTCGACTGCGTCCTCGTATCCGGGGACCTGCCCTGGGAGAAACCTGATCAACACATCTTCCACGAAGCATGCAAACTTCTTAACGTTGAGCCCCGTAACTGCATTATGGTTGGAGATAAACTGGAAACTGATATCAAGGTATACATTAAACTTTTTAATACGCTTTCATTAGCTTTAGACGTATGTAACGGAATCTTTGAACATGATTTTAACCCCCTTCAAAACGTCGGATTAACTCGAAAGGTATACTTATTAAGGACCGATGACAACTCAACATTAAAAAAATATTTAAATTTATTGAAATTCAACTAAAAAATTAAAAATAAATAAGAGTTTAAAAAAAACTAAAAATATACGCTTTTATAGAAAATCCCACTAACAAACAGAAAATAAATCTTAATAAATTTGAATTAAAAATAGTGTAAGAAAAAATGATTTTATTGTAAAAAAAGCGTGGAATGAATGAAAGATTACTGGTGGCCCGGAGGTCTTTCCAGTTTGACTCAGTGAAACTCAGCCAAGAGGAGTGGGATTTGCTAATCCGAGCGCCTCCCAAGGAGACCTAACAGCTCAAAGGCAGCTGCTTCGCGAATGCATCTACTACCGGCTCGGAATCGCGACCCGCTGAGAAAATCCAGCGAGAAACTCAGCGGGCTGATGTATGGGTTAAGTTGCACGTTGAACTCTTTGCCGAGTTCGGCGAAGCATTAAACTTCCTACATACAAGAACCTATGAGATTATAATCAGCAGATTATAATCGGCAGATTATCATAGTCGTATATTCGAATCGGTTCCGATAACTGATGCTGCAATCGGGATTTCAATTTTTACTATTGTGGAACTCTGCTACGCCGCAATTAATAACTTTTAAAAATAATTGAAGTTATACTTCTTTAGGCGCGTTATGAAAAATTGATGAGAGTGAAATTTTACGATGCGCGCGCACCGTGACACAAAATTAACAGAATGAAGTTGCCCACTAAATCGCTCATTACAATACGACCGACGTAACTTGGCGTGTCTGAATATAGCCGCAGGTGAACTTTCAGAACCGTACCGAGAATTACCGAATTTATACGATGTCAAGAAAAGGGATGTCCAATATGCGTGTTTGAGGATGTTGTTTAATCGATTTTTTTTTCAAATTGATTAAAATTTAAATATAAAAAAAAGAAATTAATAAAAATAAAGTATAACTTCTTACGCACGTACATAAGTACACGCACCCTTTATTTTTTTGTTAATACAATATTTTATTAAATCACAGGGTGGAAAAGAAGCAGAACTAGCAGCAACCGTTTGGATCCCATTGCAAAAGGATGAAGAAATATCAGACCTACCAGACATTACGATAGACAATGTAACCGAACTACCAGAAGTCTTGCCAAATTCTCCTAAACTCAAACGATCAACAAATATGTCCGATGACTGTTAGGTCTGAAGTCTTTTTTTTCTACACACTATATGCATTGCGCCTTGATTCGCTCTTATCGGACATTATACAGTATCTCAAGTACAAAACTTTATTTGCAGTACAAATGTAGATTAAGTATTTGTAAATATATGTATCGTTTCACACCCAACAATGTCTTATAAGTAGTTGTTATATTTATTGTGTGTTTTTAATGTTGTTTGTTAAAAAGTGCTAGAAGCCTGATTTCTAATTAGAAATAGAGAAGCTATTATTTTAAGATGATGTTATCGTAGTAAGTAATTCTATATTTTTTTACAAATTAACTATTTTTATTAAACTTGGTGGTACCCTTTGGCATCCTACGATGAGACTGTCTTGTGTGATACTGTACTAATAATTATTCGTTTGAATTTATTAGAATTATTAAAATGCTATTTTATGCATGTGGGGATTAATAGAGTAAAGGTTATCAAACTTTTATTTTATTAGAGTAGAGCGATATAAGGGCTCAATTTATTTTTGTAGTCTTTCACTAATAGATCTAATATTTTAATACCATTTTCAAAATAATACATTGTGAGTATCCAATTGAAAAGTGTTTCATACGGGTTTCATAGTAGACACACGAAACATTTAGTTTCGCTAATAATTAATATTTGTATCTAGTTACATAGATAGATATATTTTAAATTGTTATGACGTATAATTAGATTGAGTGATCTGGTATTGTTGTTTGTTGATTTGGAATAATCTTAAAATGTAGTACACAGAGGAAGTATAGTGTTCCTAGCAATTAGCAAGCAAGCTTTTCTATGTTGTCTTCACCAAATAGTTACTGATCTTTTTCATGATATGGACAAAACACACAAACTATTTTATTCGAATAAAACTATTTTTTTAAAACTTCATTCTTTTTTTTCTACAATAATATTATCTAAGTCTATCTATACATTTTTAGGCTAAATTCAATTTTATTAACAACAAACTAAACTATGCAGTTCTCAACATTTTAGCTTCACGCTTCTCTTGTAACATTTTCTTTTGTTCTTCGACAATCTTCTTTCTCTCTTCAAGGAATTCACCATATTCCTGAAATAAATTAAGTATTTCAAAGCTTTTAATGTGTTTTTTGAAACAATTTTCAGTTGTTTCATTTATATTTTGAGGCTTACAAGAACTCAAAAAAATACTTTTTTTTTTCTATTGACTTCACTATGAATTTATGAACTGCTTATTACACTAATAAAGTATACCACTACTTAGTCTAGCCTGAGAAATAATCGATCTGACAGGTAATTTTAAGATGAATTTGTTATTATTAGACCAGTATTCAGTTGATAACTAGTATGGAATCTGGTCTCTTACTTCTGCATACTGCAACCATACCTAATGCATTTTATAACAAAAATAGGTGAGATATCTATCAATACATATAATAAAATCGTAACTGGTCGCTGATGGAAGATATCTCAGAAAAAATTGTTATTGAGGGCTTTATGAACGCAATAGAACCCAAAATACTTATTTTTAGAATTTTTGTCTGTTTGTCTGTGCGTTTGTGCAAGCTAATCTCAGAAACAGCTTATCCGATTTAAATGTGGTTTTCACTTATTTTATGTGGTAAGCTTTACTTAACATTTAGTGTTTGTTTCATGTCAATCATCAATACATAGGTATAATAAAATCGTAACTGGTTGCTGTCTGGACATGGAAGATATCTCAGAAAAAATTGTTATTGGGGGCTTTATGAACGCAATAGAACCCAAAATAATGATCTTTAGAATTTTTGTCTGTTTGTCTGTGCGTTTGTGCACGCTAATCTCAGAAACAGCTTATCCGATTTAAATGTGGTGTTCACTTAATTATAAATAAAAGTGTGGGCCCCTTTTTTTTATTTAACGTTGGGTAATCCATTTACGGATACCCAGTCGAGGGGGGTAACTGACCAGATTATGTCAGACCCCAACAACTCCTGAGAGGGAAATGGGAAGGAGAAAGACGGAGGACCGCCTCCAATTCCTCCCAGGAGACTACCTCTGAGAAAGGTGCGCGAGGACCCATCCTGCAGAACTGACTACCGAATAAAACCCCATCAAACTCCACCACACCGGGGCCCACACCAGCCTAACCCCATTAAATAATTCAATCTTATATTGCATGTTTACCTTGGGATCTAATTCTTTGACTATTTCAATACCACATGTTCTTGCAGTGGCTATCAACATTGTACAAATTTCTTTCAGAGATTTCCACTCTAAAGGAGGATCCTGCTGTTTTATTTTTGCTATTTCATACAAATGCTTCAAAGTTATTTTCCCACTGGTTTCTCTAACTGGAACGCAAAGTGTTTTAAACCTTTAAAAATTGTTAGTATCATATAATTTATCACTTTTATTTGAGAAAAAATAAAGAGCTAAATTCATCCTGATTTTTAAATGATTTCTAGAAATCTGAATTTAAATAATAATAAAAAAAATACCTAGTTTCAACAAAATGTTTTAAATAATATAATATACCCCAAATTCTTATTAATCCCATACAAGCATAATGTCAATTACATGATAGGCCGTTAATTTTAAAATTCTCTGCTACCATGTTTTCAGATCTCTTTTTGCACTTCCATTTGCATACCATAAAATATTACTTTCTCTATTACTTAATAGATAACCAACCATTCATTCAGTGTATTTTAACAGATATGTGGACAGTATTAAAAAAGGAGACCTGTCCGACCTATAAAGGCCTTCTTAAAGTTATATATATGCACAGACATCATAATGAAGAAATTAAAATCAATATGGAGAGCATCAAACGGTAGGCAGCGGGTTGGGTCTGCCCCTGGCATTTCTGACGTCCGTGAGCGATGTTAACCACTCACCATCAAGTGGGCCATTTATGCCTACAAGGGCATTAAAAAAAACAAAATCAAATCAATATTTCTAAGTTTATGTAATTACTATTTGTCAGACATGTTTAATCGAAGTTTTACTGTATTAACTTACCAGGTTCCATGGCTCCTTTACTTATTCCAGCAGCTTGTTTTAAAAAATATGAAGCCGGTGGTTGATGTATTACAAGATGATAAGAACGATCCGAATTAACTTTCACTCTTGTTGGTAAAGGTATTCCTTGCTTAATGTTAGCAGTCTTCTCATTAAAATCTTTACAGAAAGCGGCTATATTGATATTCCTCTAGAACATAAATCTAATTAATTAATACAGAACTTACCAGAAAGATATATAAACATTCTTACTTACTTGACCCAGCATAGGGCCTAGAGGCGGACCAGCTGCAGCCATACCAGCTGGAATATTGGTCCTCATTTTTGAACTATGATCGATTTTTTCAGCCACCTTTCTCATGGATTTCAATCGAGCTACCGATTTAGACATTTTATTATAATTTCAAGTAATGTTTTGAGACGAATTGTCCAATCAAAAGTATTTAAGTTAGGCTGTCATTTAAATATTTTTCTCTTAAAAATAGTTCTTGCATTAAATTCAATAATTTGTTGTATTTCCTCTTGAAAGTTTTTAGGTTATTGTATTTTTTTTTCGCACCTTCATTATGCAGGCAAAAGAAATCTAATCGAAAAAGCTAAAATTTTATAAAAAAGGTCCGGAAGTCAAATTAATAAAAATTAAATGAGATGAGAAAAAAATCCATGTAATAGTATATTATTTAAACTACATTGGATATATCCTATTGGATGAAATGAAATACATAACTACTCGGTGGGAAATTATTAGTGGGAAGAGCTCGATAAGCCTTCTAAGTTTTACTTTTTCACACATGCTCAATAGGTAGTTAATACTTCTTCATATGAGTCAACAACTTCATTTCTGATCATCCTCTCTAGTTTGCTTATTATTAATTAATTAATTATTATTTTATCATCCAATGCATAACTCCTCTCTACGTGTCTCTATTTTCGGCAGTCCTTAGTGCTTCAGTGTGCTTAGTGCGATTTTTTTATCTTCTGGATCGCGTAAAAGATAACTATAATTTGCATGGAGGTGGAACAGCGCCCCTACGTTTTCCGCTAGGTATGGTATAGGCATTCAGTTAAGTGATGCTATAAATTTTGACCATAGGGTGGAAGATCGATCTCATGGTCTTTTCCCGTCTACACGACCTACTACCTTTAGCTCTTCGAGGCTGTCAGAGCTCCTGCGAGCAATGTGTTTGTCATTAAGCCACTCTTATGGCCGGTCCCAATATCGGATCCTTGATCGGGAGATCGGTTCAATCGGAGATCGAAAACGATCTCCCGATTGATGAACTGAAGATTGACTATATCATATTATGAATTGAAACCTAGTGTTTTGCCAAAAACCAAAACATTTATATCACAGACGATCCATTTCAACATATTTATGATATTTTAGTACCTAATGTATATAACTGACAACTTAATGAGTAATAAGTATCTAGTTTATAAAAATACTTTTGTATCAGCCACAGCTCAGTTTCATTAAAAATTCTCGCAAGCTTGAGATGCTGTAAACGGATACACTGCCATGCAACAGATCTAAATGATACCTATTTTTACTTTTATTAAAGGATAAAGTTCAAAATTGTTTGAATATTCCTAAAAGAAATTTAGTTACTTGTTATTGGTTTAATTTTGTGGTGTGGTTGGTGTAATTTATGTAATGCCTTTAAGAAACTAGTTTTCTACCTGCGGCTTTGTCTGCATAGACCAATCTTTATGCTCAGCAGTAATGAAAACTATATACATAGTCTAAATTATTTCCCATGCTTCAAATTATTTCCAAAACTACTCACAGGGCCCTACAGTCGTACACCTACAAGGGTAATATAAAAAACCACGTCCAGTGACTTTGTTTCATTTTCGCACACTTATGCGCTTTCATAGACACTAAGCGGTTAATAACTACCGTACATATTTAAACCTCAAGAAAAACTAAAATGAGAACAGTAAATAAGTTACATAACAAAGTTTCTCATGTTCGCGCGAAGAAATAACAAAAATACCGTTCGTCTTTCTTAAAATTCTGTTTCTGGGGATCTTTTTCATGAAAATGTAATCTGCGTCACTGTGGTGGATGTTACACCGGTCACTCACATGCGCACGAATACGCAACCCACAAGTGTAGGACGACATTTGCGAATGATTATGCAAAGATTTCGCTGCGATTTCGTGTCGGTTTTTTAACAGACATCAAAGCGCGCGAACCTCGAACCTTCGCGTAGTCTCCCACATATTCGCTTGCCCAGTTGCGCCGACGATTGCGAAGGTAACGGACGTATACTATACGCCATTTTCATAGTTCGTGACGTCTACTGTGTAGCGTATCTTCATCAAAAGAAATCCCATAAAAACAGCATGGCTGTTAATGATGTCTGGGAAAGAATTAAAAACTCTTTTTCTCTTCAATGTTCTATTGACGAATTAAAAAGGAGGAGAAATTCGTGAGACATTCGTAAACAAGTGTAGGAGGAAGCGCAAACGGGTTCGCAAATTGAGTATGCGAACCCATTTGCACAGCCGCTAGGTTTGCGAATGAATGTTTGACGGCCCTTCACATGCGCGCATGTCAGTGGCCGACATAGAATGTTGATCAAGTTTTTTTTATTTATTTCTTAAAACTATCGTTGGAGCTCAGGTTTAACTGCCGCTAAGACTTCCGTTGTCTATGCATAAATCATTACACAGTTAAGTTTTTTTTTGGAACGAAGTTCCTTATGGGACGATGCGGAGGGGTACCCTAACCGGGAAAAAACGTCCGTAACGTAAGATTTTTATTATTAATTCACACAGTGTACGACTTAACGTACAAAAAATAACATATTTTTTTATCATTAATTGACCACGATCTCAGAGCGTTCGTTTGCGCAATACACTAACTCTTACACCGGTCACTCACATGCGCACGAATACGCAAATCCGCAAGTGTAGGACGACATTTGCGAATGATTATGCAAAGTTTTCGCTGCATTCGTGGTTTTCCAAGCTGTGTCGGTTTTTTAACAGACATCAAAGCGCGCGAACCTCGAACCTTCGCGTAGTCTCCCACACATTCGCTTGCCCAGTTGCGCCGACGATTGCGAAGGTAACGGACGTATACTATACGCCATTTTCATAGTTCGTGACGTCTACTGTGTAGCGTATCTTCATCAAAAGAAATCCCATAAAAACAGCATGGCTGTTAATGATGTCTGGGAAAGAATTAAAAACTCTTTTTCTCTTCAATGTTCTATTGACGAATTAAAAAGGAGGAGAAATTCGTGAGACATTCTGAAACAAGTGTAGGAGGAAGCGCAAACAAGTTCGCAAATTGAGTATGCGAACCCATTTGCACAGCCGCTAGGTTTGCGAATGAATGTTTGACGGCCCTTCACATGCGCGCAAGCATTCGTACAATGTACGAATATTTGCGGGCATGTCAGTGGTCGGCATTATGATGAAAAAAATATCATAGATAGTACACCTAATATTTGCACAGAAAAAGTATGCTGGGCTAATTTCATAGACTATTATGAGATGCTTACGCATGCTAATACTAATAGGTGTTTAATCTATGTATCTATGTTGTGTGGTCAATTGGTCAATCATTTTATTTCACTTTATTTATCTATTATTTTGGAAAACTGTACGCGTTTTTTTATGCTTTAGTATTCAAAATCTATTTAGAATATTATGAAATATCTTGAAAGTCTTAGTGATTATGCTTCAAGAGTTCAAGTGGAGACTGATATAGTGTAAATTATTTATTTAATTCGAAGCATTATGTGGTCATTTTTCTCTCGAGATCCTACAAAGGATTTTCCGTACGATGTTGGTGAACCCGTACCAGAACTGGAAGACAGAAGTGTTTGGACATTACACAAGGGGAAAAAAAGAGGTACTCAGGATGAAGTATCAATATTTTTGTTCGACGTTCAAAAGAATTCGGAGACATTGTTTGACATAGCAAAAGCTTCTCTGAAAAGATTGAAGACTACGAGACACCCTAGCCTTTTACATTATTTAGATAGCTGTGAAACTGAGAAATTTTTGTATATAGCTACTGAATATGTAGAGCCTTTATCAACTCATTTAGAATGTATGAGGCTTGAGGGTCAGCAAAAAGACCTATTTCTTGCCTGGGGCGTATTCCAAATAACTGTAAGTATTGATTTAAGTATTCAAATTCGTTATTAATTTAATAAAGTATAATGATAAAAAAAAATATTGCACACATTTCTAATAAGCTTTCTAAATTATACTTTTATGTATATCGAGTGCTATAAAATAAAAGATAGAAATTATGCATCCAATAGTCTATCAGTGGGAGTAAATCTTTATGTTCAAAAGAAATTTAATTTAAAGTTTACAAACTTATTACAATTGATATAGTCTGAAATATATGAAAAACTGATTGAGGAAATTGACATTTTCTTTATTCATTTAAATTATAAAAATTGTCTACAGAGAGCTTTATCATTTTTAAATAATGATGGAAATATGAGACATAACAATGTATGCCTCTATTCTGTATTTGTAACATTGGCTGGTGAATGGAAACTAGGGGGATTTGAATTTCTAACAACCCAAGGACATGAAACTACGAATCCCATACCAATAAAGATATTACCTGCCCTCGAAATATATGATCCACCAGAGAAGAATGACTCTGTAAAACTTAAAAGTGCAACTAAATGGTAAGTTTCATTTTGAATGACTAATTTACTAATTTAATTAATTAGTAAGAGATTAATATCTCTGTTACAATGATATTACATTCAAACTTTACATTTATTACTGTATTCATAAGTTACTTATTTTCATACTATGTAAAAAAAATCTGGTCATTAATTTATCGAGGCATGGTGTATTTTTACAATAGACTTATAGTAATTATATGATTATGGAATTTAATTATGAACCACTTAATGGCCTAGGTTTTTCATCATTCTTAACATATAAAAAACGAAAGTATTGTTTAATAGTTCATCAGACATGTGGGGACTAGGATGTCTCATATGGGAGGCATTTAATGGACCGCTCAAAAACCAACCGGCTCTTAAAACAGTAGATAATATACCAAAACAGCTATGTACGCTGTACTGTGAGCTGGTCAGTGCTAACCCTGCTTCAAGACCTAACCCGGCTGATATTATTACCAGGTAAATGTTTGAAATAATATCTGATTTTCTTATGAAGCACTTACATACATATATGTAACATGATGTTCAGAAAGACAGAGGAGACTTGCAAATCACAAGAGCAAAGTAAAAATTTATTAAAATTTGCTTTTTATAATACAAACTTATTCTCTCTAAAACAGGTTTATGCTGCTAAGGAATTTGAGTTGTATTGATTTCTTTATATATGAATAACAAAAATTATAAATTTTACTTTTTCATTTTAGATGTCGTAAACTTGGTGGATATTTTAAAAACGATCTGATAGATACAATGTTATTCTTAGAAGAAATTCAAATTAAAGACAAAGCTGAGAAGGGAAAATTTTTCTCAAGTCTTAGTTCACATTTAGATAACTTCCCAGAAAATGTATGTGTTCATAAGATCCTGCCGCAGTTATTGACTGCCTTTCATTATGGAGACGCTGGTTCTGCTGTGTTGGCACCTATGTTTAAGGTTCGTTAGATATTTTAAATTCAAAATAATGCATTATCTGCAGCCAAAATTCTAACATTTACTTCACATTTGAATTCTGGAAACTGCTGTGTTTCATAATTATATACTATGATTGTAGTAATAATAGATGTACTGTTGTATTAAAATATAATTATTATATTATGTAGTTGTACTGTAGTTTTGGTAATTATGAAATATTAATTAATGTTCACCTTTTAAATAACAGATTACTGTAACATATTTAGACTGTATCTCAACAGAATATGCATATGCAAACCTCAACCCAAAAAGGAATTTATTTGAATACATACATATCGTAATATATTTGAATTTCCCAAATTAGCAAATTCATGTAAATCATATTACTATATCAACTACTGGTTACTTTTCCACTGATGAAGAAATGTTTTTCGCTTATAATAATTTCAATGTATGTTCACTCCTAATATGTTTACAGCTAGGCAAATTATTAGAAGATCCTGATTACCAAAAACAAATAGTGCCCTGTGTTGTTAAACTATTCGCCTCTAATGACAGAACGACAAGATCAAGGCTTCTGCAACAACTAGACCAGTTCATTATGCATCTGCAGAATTCGACAGTAAGTTAAAAAAGTTTAGAATTCTTGTAAACCCCTAAAGCAATATTATACAGTACTTAACTGATAAAATCAATGAAAACAATCTATTACCTTAGCTATTCTTAGGTTTTTTTTTGTAATCATGGAGCATGTAACTTGTGAACAGGTTTTATGCTCCATAGGTCTAGGTTAATTAATTATGTTTTACTGTCATTAATAGAGCGCCTTATCATTGACTGTTAGATCAGAGAGGCCTGAGTGTACTAATCTATGTTTATTTATTTAGGTTAACGACCAAATTTTCCCGCAAGTTGTAAATGGCTTCTTGGACACCAATGCTATTATTAGGGAACAAACTGTGAAATCGATTGTTCATCTCGCATCTAAACTAAATTACAACAATCTCAACGTTGAAGTATTGCGACACTTTGCCAGATTACAGTCAAAAGATGATCAAGGAGGAATAAGGTGAGAAATAAATGCAATTAATTTCACAAAATATTGTGGATTCGAAGATTTTCGACAGACTATGAAATAGTAGGTATATATTTTTAGACGGATCGCCAAAATAAATCAATATAAAAATTTAGATCTGCATGTCGACATTAATGAGTACGAAATATGAGTTGTCCTGATTCGTCAACTCATTATTGTTAGTCCAATAAAATCGCTGACTGCTTAATCGTCGTCAATTGAAACTAATCAATTTGACATTAATCAATATGTTATAGTTTACTATGAAGTGTCTTCAGTTGGGAATGGGTTTGTATGATATTATCATGAGTACGATGTTATACATTAATGGTGGAAACAATTCGTAGACTTATATCATGTCGAGTCGTTGTGGCTTAAAGAATAAGACGTCCGGTTCATTCGCATGTAGCGATGCATCGGTGTTCGAATCCCGCCGGCAGATACGAATTTTTCCAATGAAATACGTACTTAACAAATGCTCACCATTGACTTCCACGGTGAAGGAATAACATATTGTAATAAAAATCAATTTGCATAATTACAGGTAGGACGTCTTTTGAATCCGCACGGATAGGTACCACCACCCTGCTTTATTTCTGCCGTATAGTAGTAATGCGTTTCGGTTTGAAGGGTGGGGCAGCCGTTGCACTGTTAAAAGTGAGAGCGTACAACTCATATCTCAAGCATTTACATCGTAGATGTGTATGGGCTCCGGTTACCACTTAACACCAGGTGAACCGTGATCTCGTTCGCTCGTAGATGGGTATCTGTGCTATAAAAAAAACTTTACAGGAGAGCCATTTAAAGCTTGCAATTTGGAAAAAATTACATAACAAAAAAAACTTCTTCAACTATCTGAACGGAGTACGCTTAATTGACGTTAAATTAATAACATCGAATTGTCGAAAACGTGGTTTAAACTATAATACAAAAAAACAACAACGACAGTACATAATTATAATAATACAATATTTTTTTATTTTTATTGCTTAGATGGGTGGACGAGCTCACAGCCCACCTGGTGTTAAGTGGTTACTGGAGCCCATAGACATTTACAACGTAAATGCGCCACCCCCCTTGAGATATAAGTTCTAAGATCTCAAGTATAGTTACAACGGTTGCCCCGCCCTTCAAACCGAAACGCATTACTGCTTCACGTCAGAAATAGGCAGGGTGGTGGTACCTATCCGCGCGGACTCAAAAGAGGTCCTACCGCCAGTAAAAATGACGACGCGTTTCAATAATGTCGCATAAACCAAATCGCTTTTCAACCCTCCGATATGATTTTCATTACAGAACGAACACAACAGTCTGCCTCGGTAAGATAGCGGCGCACCTGCATCCGCAGATACGGCAGAAGGTGCTTGTGTCTGCGTTCGTTCGCTCCACGAGGGATCCCTTCCCACCGGCGCGACAGGCCGGAGTCCTAGCGCTGGCCGCCACGCAACAGTACTTCTTGCTATCCGAAGTGGCGAACAGAGTCTTGCCGGCTCTATGTCCGCTGACAATCGATCCAGAGAAACAGGTAAACAAACATAAGGATATCCTATTTAACAATGGCTAGTTATCAATATATATTTTGTAATTTCAATTGTGTTTTTAATAGCCAAAGCTATGCACATTAATATGGATTTGCTGAGTGCACATACTATTTAGATTGCAATCCAGATTAGATCTAGGTACTACTTGTACGATTTAGATAAAGTGTACTGTAATGATTGTAATTTTTTTTTGTGCATCAATAATAATAATAAAAAAAACAACGTATATCTAAATATTAATACGTGAAGCAAAAACACTGTACCCCTTTTGACGATAATTGCGCGGACGAAGGAGTATGAAATTTCCCCCAGTTATAAAGAATATAGAGAAGGGCTGCCGAATGTTTTATTTTTATTTTTATTATGCATAAAAAATACATTAAATCAATAAAAAAAAACATTACACACACTGCCATGTATTTGACACACACACACACACACACATGCATAATATTTGTTTATTGTCAAACTTTTCTTATATGTACTTTTCTTATAGTATGTAGTCAATTTGAGAATAGATTAAATACTCTTTGTCTTTATGAATATTTGTCTAAAGTGTTAGTCTCGGCGAAATCTGTGATTGTAGAAGCATAATAAATATTCTTTGACAATAGAAGCATAACAGTGTACAAACTTATAATTTCAATTAATTATAGTCTAATTTCGATTACTGATGGACCACTAGTTTCTATAGTATACATAATGTCTAAATCTTGACTGTTACGCAGTAAAATCTCTGAAGGCCTTAAAAACAATGTTGTATATTTTGGTTTATCGTTGCTTCAATGAACGCGATATCAACTGGTTTGATAAGAAACCGCTGTTTCCTAACAAAAAAAGATTGCTGTGAACTAATTTTAAAACGCTTTAAAATATTTTAAATTCGCTCACGGCTAATAGATCAATAACACACAAATTAATATCAATTTTAATGTAGGTATTTAAGAGACAAATAAACTATGTCATAGGTTCGCGATGCTGCCTTTAGGACGATTAGAGGCTTTCTCGGTAAACTAGAGAAAGTTTCTGAAGACCCGAGCTTAAAAGAAGGAATGGGTATGTAACCACAAATATTACATGTTTAAGTAAAAATATATTTACAATTACAATGTAGTTCATAGCTGCCAGTATAAATTGAGTTTACCTTAAGATTCAAAGTCGAATGAACATTCTAGGCGTCTTACGTACAAATAGTTTTGTGTAATTTTATATAATTTTAATGTATACAATAAGGCTAGTGCACTTATAAGCTTTCAGCATATTACCATTTTGGGAATATCAATAACAACAGAATTGTAATTGTAATTATATCAAGTTGAACATTATTACAAGAGTTGTAAAATCCGAACATATTTAAATAATAAAACGATTTTGCATGCATTTTTCAAGAGACATCCACGTTCAAGTATTATCAGAATTTAACTATGCAGTAATTACGATATCAAACTACATGACACTGTAATCATTTAAGCGAATCAGAATTTTATTATGTAGGCGATAAGGTCTGTGCCACAATCCTATTTCTGCTAATAAGTACCTACTCATGCATTACCGTGTGATTGACACGTTGACCGTTATATGTGAGTGGCGGCATTCGCGTTACCTTCTCTGTGGGCTGCGGTAACCACCTAACATCAGATGGGCCGCGAGCTCGTTGATCCGAACGGCTACAACTGTTTTACGATGTCTCCTTGATTGATAATTAGCAGTGGTAGGACCTCATGTGAGTCCGCACGGGTAGGTACCACCACCCCGCTAATTTCTGCCGTGAAGCAGCAATGCGTTTCGGTTTGAAGGGTGAGGCAGCCGTTGTAGCTATACTGAGACCTTACAACTTATATCTCAAGGTGGGTGGCGGATTTACGTTGTAGATGACTAGGGGTTCAGTAACCACGTAACATGGGGTTTTTTTTGCCTTGCCTCCTGGACGTCAGCAATGCCAGGGGCAGAGCCAAGCCGCTGCCTACCATTATAAGATCCATTGTAAGCTCGTCCGCCCATCGAAGCAATAACAAAAAAATTTAAAAAATCTCCAGAGGCGGACGTCCACACGGCCACTCCGTCGCTAAGCAACGCGGCGGCCACGTGGGCGGGCTGGGCCGTCACCGCCGTCACCGCCAAGTTCTACCGTTCGCACTCGGACACCACGCGGGTGCAACACTCCACTAAATCTGCACTCTCTAAACCCGGATCCTTGGGTAACATCTTTTTTTTAAATACGCTTTTATTAGCTTCAGACGTATGTATGTTAGTATGTAACCGGAGTCTTTGAACATGATTTTGACCCCCTTCAAATCGTCGGATTAACTCGAAATTTGGTATACTTATTAAGGACCCATGGCAAATGAATATTTAAAAAAAATATTGAAAAAATTGAAATTCAACTAAAAAATGAAAAATAAATAATAGTTTCAAAAAAACTAAGAAAATACACTTTTCTAGAAAATCCAACTAAAAAATAGAAAATAGATCTTAATAAATTAAATTGAATTTTAATAATGAAAATTAATAATTGAATTTAAAATATTGTAAGAAACAATGATTCTATTGTAAAAAGCGTGGGTTGCATATAAATATTTCATGAACAGATATGCGTAGAAGGGTTATTTTGATAATATCCTGAAATCACTCCACGCTTTCTTTTTAACAACAAAATATTTTTTTCTTATAATATTTTTAATGCAAATTTATTAAATTTATTTTCTTTAAAAGCGTTTTTTGTTTTTTTAAACTATTATTTATTTTTCTCTCTCTAATCGCTGGTAACCTAAAGGTACGCGTCCATTGGTCCGCGTCAGACGCACCACACTCAACTGATTTTATTTTGCTTTGTATTTTTTGCTCATTTAAATGCCGGCGTTCGGTACCGGCGTTGTGGGTAGTGGACGCAGGACTATGTGAAATCATACAAAGCAAAATAAAATGGACGCGTACCTTAAGAAACTATTCCAGCTACCTCGGACTGGTAGGTGAGAGACTCAACCTGAGAAAGTTAGCTAACACAGACCCTAGCGAGAGCAAAGCCTCACTGAATTTACCACCGGATCGGAACCGCGACCCACTGAGAAGATCCAGCGAGAAACTCAGTGGGTTGTGTCTATACTACAATTCTTGCTGCTTTATATATACAAAACAATCTATTAGCTTTATTATAGTAATGTTGATTCTATGTAAAGAATGTTGTCTATACTAATATATAAATCTACAGTGGTTTTTACGGATGTTCCGTTATAAGTACTGAACCATGCATCCGATTGACTTGAAATTTGGTATCCATTTAGAAAATACATGTACTTAATGGATAGGCTAATATTTATATGAGTGTTGGACTCCCTATACCAGTTGCAGGGGCGTTAATGATGAGAATCTTTGTGGGGTGGTGAGAAATAATAATGTTAATTTTAAATGCTCAGCGAAGCGGACAGGTACAGCTAGTATAATATAAAAATAAAACGTTACTGTACTTTACGTATATGTACTGTAATTTATTTTGCAGGATCAACCTATAACAATATGCTTAAAATAGCCTTCGCAATTTTTTATAAGTTGAGTAATTTAAGAAGAATACATAGTAAAATATTAATTTCTACAATTTATTACAGAGCAACCTTCGTCGAGTAGTATGTCGACGACGACGTCANCTAGTATAATATAAAAATAAAACGTTACTGTACTTTACGTATATGTACTGTAATTTATTTTGCAGGATCAACCTATAACAATATGCTTAAAATAGCCTTCGCAATTTTTTATAAGTTGAGTAATTTAAGAAGAATACATAGTAAAATATTAATTTCTACAATTTATTACAGAGCAACCTTCGTCGAGTAGTATGTCGACAACGACGTCATCGGTGACATCCATGACGTCACTGGAGCACAGCGAGTCGGCCTCCGACTACGATCCGGAGCACTGGGACATGGCGGCTTGGGGAGAAATCGATTCTAGTGGAGGTTATTATTATTCTGTCGCATAGCAATTATTTTTGTTGCTATAATACTTGTTGTCGTTTTGCAATTTATACTTCCTCCGCCAATCGACACCAATAATTCTTCACCAAAATCGTCTACCCATGTAAGCAATAAAAAAAAATCCGTAATATTTGAATGTAGGCACGGGCGGTAGTGCGGGCAGCAGCAGTGCGCAAGCGGCGCCCGGGCTCGCGGCCCTCGACGAGGACGACTGGGACAACGAGGAGTGGGGCACGCTGCAGGAACAACCGGTACGTGGACTGAACGGACAACACTGCCTCTCAACATTCAAACTAACTATACCCATCTTACATAAAAATAAAAATCAATAACCGTTTGTATTATAAAATACTAGCGACCCGCCCTCGCTTCGCTTCAGAAACTATAATTTATTATTGATTTCTCCACTATCTAATGGATGTTGTTATACATATAAACCTTCCTCTTCAATCACTCTATTAAAAAAACCGCATCAAAATCCGTTGCGTACCTAGTTTTAAAGTTTAAGCATACATAGGGATATAGGGACAGAGAAAGCGACTTTGTTTTATACTATGTAGTGTTTTTTTTTTCAGTCCGCTAAAGCCGATCTGGTCAGTCCCTCGGAGACGTGGAATAACTCTCAATGGACGGATCCGATCGTGAACAGCGCGAACGCGACGTTCGTCCGCAGCACGGCCGGCTCGAGGCTGGAGCACCGCCCCGCCGCGCACCAGAACAGCAACGACTCGCTCGGAGGCTGGGAAGACGGAGAATTCGAACCGATAGAAGAAAACGCCGATGGTATGCTTGATGTTTCTATAAGGCATGCTTGATGTTCTACAGCGAGTAATCATCAGGTTTGGGCCCTGTGAGCTCACCTACTAGGTGACGCTGATATGGTCTCTAGACCATATATCATAGATCTAGTCATATTATATTTAGGTAGGAAAAAAAACGGCACGTATGTGACCACAATATTTTTTTAATACGAGCTTTGAGAATAATAAGTTTGGCCAATTGACTCGTATGTTTCTCGTGGCCTTTCGCACCAAGCGTCATATATTTTGGTAATACACCTTGTGCGTTCGTTTACGGGTCTATGGAAATACCCTTGATATTGTTTAGATAAAATTTAACGCTTAGAACAATCGGGCACATCTATTCACTTAATAATAATAATTTTAAAATGATAATTTATCAAAGACACGCACACATAAAGACTGGTGGGCCCACCTCCCGGGTTAAAAACTGGTATATTATCTAGTACAATAAATGTTTGTTGTGATCTTAATATGACTATTATCCGACATCACTTGTAGGATGTTGTAGGCTGTGTCATAATTAAAAGGTTTACAAAAATAATAAAGTTTCAAGTGTACTCGTAGTCAAACTTGTAGGGCTTGTACACTACTAACACAACTAACACAGGGCTAACAATAATACATTATAATGACACACTATGTGGTTGTCTCATTATAATGAGATTGTGATACTTACAAGTGTGGGACACTGTGAACTTATAAGTTTCAGAAATTAACAGTATTGTCACAAGAGGTCCGCCCGACGATAATTATATAAATAACATAATTTTTTTATAGAAAACAATGCTTCAAAGATGGACGAGCTACGAAGGAAACGAGAAGAGAGGAAATTACAAAGACAGAGAGAGATGGAAGCGCGTCGTTCCGCTCGAGCCCAGGGACCTATGAAACTGGGCACCAAGATCGTGACAGCACCGCCGCCCTTCTAGAACGAACTCGAACTTACACGGACGATGGATTTCAATCGGTAACTGAAAAAGATGTGAATACCTGGAGAAATCGAGTAAAACGCGTGAACATATTTTTGATGGAAACGAAATTATAGCTTTGTTAAAAATCGATACATATAAATGGCGTCGTGTGATTCTTATGATGTGAAATGTGAAAACCCTTTTTAATTATATTAAAAGGAAATACTTTATATTATACGACTGATACGTCTATTGTATTCGTGTGAAATTATAAATTTTTTTTTAAACCTATTTGTATTTGAAATTCGTAATCGATAATAAAATTTGGTGTTTTTTATCACGTAACGTCTATTTGTATTGGTATAAATTTTTCCATCAGATTTAAAGTTATAGGTTTTCCTGTATCGTACATTTTCAATCAGAGCAATACAATTCTTAATAAAAGCGTTACAATTCTTAATAAAAGCGTTACAATTCAACACCAAAATATTGACGAAATTTTTTGCATCGATTTCTCGCTGTTGATAGCCCTGATCTCCGTGTTAAATACGTTCTGCTGGGCCGTTCTAGACCGTCAATATATATCCGCTTCTATAAATATATAGTGTATCATCCATGGTCGAATATATTTTGTGGTTGTGATCGGTTCGAAGAAAAAAAATATCCAAAACAAACAACTTCATGAAGTTATTCAAACAGGCTACAGGGAAACAATATAAAAATTTAATACATTATTAATAAACTAAACATTGTTTCCTAAAGAAATGCATATATGAGCGAGCCGATAAGGAATTTGATAAGACAAGTACGTCTTTTTTTTTTAAATGGTCTTTGTACGAATTCGCTTAATAAACTTATTCTACAGAATTCCAATATGGGTATATATAAAATAGACCCTTACAAAAATTCCTTACAAAAAATATATACATATAAACAGAATAATATACATGTAGATAAAAACAGAATAGTTTCCGTTTTTATCAAATATGATTCTTGAAACGTGCACTGCATATGGTACAGACATTACCCATCAGTCTTCACACAGTCGACCAAAATATATGTTAACAAAGTTGTGGCAAACTATAATCTACGTAAATTATTGAAAACTGTTAACAAAACGAAATGAAATTTCCAAGAAATATATTTATATATAAATTGTAATGTAATAAATTTAAACAGAGTTATATTATTTTAATTGTGTTTTAAACATTATCAGTTTTAGATTTACAATCGCTAAAGTGTTAGTTTTAAGGAACAAGTGAGAAATTTGATGTATTATGCTCTTAGAATAAGTTTCATATCATACATTTACAAATGTTAAATATTTTTTCTTAGTGCATTTGACAGAAACCTGAGATAACATTTCCAAAAACGTTCGAACCACGTGATTAATTTCAAACAGGAATTTAAACTGCATTCATATTTAAGAAATGGCAATATTTTATGATACAGAGTAAAAATAAGCATAATTTCTTTAATTATTGCTACAAAAAAAAACTGCTAGAATAAGTGTTGAATTGATAAAAGTCTACATTAGAAAGAGCAAGTAAATTCGCTAATTATATTTAAAAAAATCAAAGCCATTTATTTTTCCCTCAGATGTACAGAGTGCCTCGACGCTCTGCAAGTAAATTTTTACGGATCACCTAACAAAATCCAAGCTGAACTAGTTACAAAATGTTTTAGTATGACTTTTGTTTTTGGTTGGATTAAGGGAACATTGTACTAAATATGTATGACTAAATATGACTCCTTGGCCGACATGGCTCCATTTTAGCGTGGTCAATATGGAAACTAATTCGCCGCCATCTTTAAAAAGGTTATCACTGAAAAAGTTGCAATCATAAAAAAGCGTTACGAATTACCTGAAATTAAAAATAATAATTGACCATTCTCAATATTGCCCACATCTGGCTAAAACGCGAATCGGGGCCTGCTCCGGCTATATTATGGATTGATGTTGTACTGAATGTGTGATGATTATACTTATTGTCTGCTAATATTTTCACTTATGTAAATAAAAATTTACAAAAAACAAATGTTTATTTATTTGAATGGTTCAGATTGCTTAGTATCAAAACTTTTTACTGCTNAAATCTATTTATTGTCTGAAGTTTAACTTCAAATTAATTTACTTAAGGCAAAAGAATTAAAACTACAAAAGCATATTTTATTGTTTTAATAAGCATTAAATTTTACTTAATAAAAAAGGATTAGTACATAATTCATTACGCAATGTATTTTATGTTAGTTACGATTTAAGTACAAACAAAGCATTTTATGCTTCGAAAAGAAAAAGTACGGGTACAATTATTGTTTACATATAAACTGAACACAAATCCTTAAGAGAATACGTAATATTATTAACAGGTACGTATCTATTATTATGTACCTCACTAGTCTTCATATATTTTTACAACTTGAACACATGAAAGATTTGTGATTTCCATATCGTTTATTAGTTGAAAGAAATAGCAAAGCTTAGATACAATATTTATTACGTGCTAGGACATCCATGGCCGATCGGACACCCCATCAAAAAATAATTCACAAATCATCGCTTTTAGTCTTCAAAACAATTATTGTCTGCGATAATAATTGAATTCCTAAAAAAATTACAGAATTGCATTAAATCAATAAATTAAATACAAAAAAATACCAAAAATTCTTTGAACATTATATTGCGACAAAATACGAATCAATGATTTGATGGATAGAAAGATCGACCCTGCAACCGTAATAACACAAACAACCAAGCAGGCAACACAATCAACATAAAAAGCGTTTTTTTTTTTCTAATCTACCAACAAACATCAAAACCAATTTTCTAAATTCAAAACCAGACTTGATTTCTAGGAACACTCAAAATAGAAAACATTATTTAACTGTTTCTATATTTGAAAATTATTACATAACCGAAAATACAATTTGATTATTTCTCGAGCTGGAATGATGATGTACGAGTTGTGAAGACTGCCCGGCCACTAATGTTTACTTACAGTTTGGAGCGCATGTCGGATGTCCCAGCGGCTAATTGTCAAGAGGGTTCATCGAACCTGAAACAAAACGATAAAATTTGTATTTTCTTCGTATCATCGCGAAACGTAAACATAATTAAAACAATTTTAATGGTTGAATTTGGAATTTATTATTATTGTCAGTATATTGTTTCAGAGGTTTCAAATACTTCACAAACTGTGAAAACTAATAGCAATAAAAAATGATCATTTTATAATAAATAGTGATGGTAATTTAGTTCTTATATAATATTTTTAATGTAATCCACCAGAGCGATAGTGGTTTTTTAGTGGAGTGGATTGGATTGTAATTCAGAATGCTGGCAACGCTGCTCACAGTTTTAATGGGCACCAACGATTAAGGTGTTATTCGTCGATATTTAAATATTGTGCGAACTACCCTCTATTTTTCTAAATAATTAAATTAATCTCGTACATAATAATTGAGTAATTTGTAATATTAAACGCATAAACGCCAACCGCGGACTAGAAGAAAATGATTGTTTTGATCGGATTAAAGTCAAATCATATATTGATCAGTAAAGCGGTTTAACGTACCTCATGTTCATAGCGTTAGAATTCCCAGGCTCCATCTTATATCCTAGCGTCTCGTAAAATTTAATTAGTTTATCCTTACAGTCGAGAGACATTTTATAGCATCCCAGCTCTTGAGCGAGAAGCGATACGGTTACCACAATTCTGGAGAAGAATGAAAACAAATTAAATTATTATGAATTAATTGAAAGTGTAATGTATAGGTATGTAGTTCAAAAAAACAAAAAAAAAACAAAACCTAAAGCAACACTTATAAATTCCGGTTATACCGGTCAAGATATTTAGGCTAAAGTAAAAAAAAAATTGTATTTTCACCGGTCCTTTATGTGTATGCAAATTTTTCAAATTTAATCGCAAGTCTTGATGTGATATTACAAAACTTTTTCACCACAAAACATTTACTAACACTTTAAATGTGCAATTTTTGTTTGTTTTATCAAGAACAAAACACCTTTTTGAATCCCATTAAGTTTATAATGTCATCTTTTTAGATATAACGGTTTTTTTTTGCCCTTGTAGGCAGACGAGCATACGGCCCACCTGATGGTGAGTGGTTACCGTCGCCCATGGACTTCAGCAATGCCAGGGGCAGAGCCAAGCCGCTGCCTACCGCAAAGTTAACGTTTCCAATAATAATAAAAATATGTGTACACTAAAGAGAAATTGAAATGACTTACAATTTACCAAGTTGTTTTCCTCTGTAAGTGTCATTAACTACGACGTCTTCTAAACGGCCGCGCTGAAATTATATAGATAAATCACTAAAATTAAGGAAGTTTTTTTTTTTACTGTATACGGATGAACAAAAGCTGACGATACACCTAAAAGCCTTATCCCAGAGAAATCGCAATCTCCTTAAGACACGAGCTCGAAGTTAACAGTAGTGGAATTTATACGTGCCAGCTAATAACAGAACGTAAGATTCGAAGTATCGAATATAAAATCATTATATTGTTTACTTAATCCCGCGTTTATTTTGAGGTAGTTTTTTTTCTGAACTCTGATGGAACTGAATTGTTTTAATGCAACGAAAGGCAATCTCTGGTGCCTAGCGATTATGATCGATCATCTATATGCGTATTTTTTTATTGAATGCTTTGCATTTTATTTATTTATTAGGCACACAATACACATTACAAGCTAAAAAAATAAAAGATACACAATAAATAACAACAAGTAAAAAAATTGGCTTGTAACATAAGCCATGCGCGCACAACTAATCAGGATAAATGTGCTAAGTAAACAATGTTCATTACAACTATAAACAAGATAAGTGGTTTGCATAATTATTATTACTAGAGGTCCCGCAGTAGTCGAAATTCGACTATAATTAATTGGAATTGTAAGTTTGTACACTATTATGATTGTATTTTATACTTTTATAATCACAGATTTAATCTTAATTTGACAACAGACGTCAAGAACAAAAGTTTGACAATAAATAGTATGCATGCGTGTGTGCGTCAAATACATGGTATGTAGTGTGTGTAATGTTTTCTTTATTGATTTAATGTATCTTTTATGAATTATTTTAAAAAAATTCATACTCTTCCGTCCGCGCAATTTTCGTAAAAAGGGATACAAAGTTTTTGCTTCACGTATTAATATATAGATACCACGACACAACGTGAATGCCCCAACACACTGAGACTTAAAATAATGAAGTCTACATCTAAATTGTTTAGTAACACAACACATATTTTTGTTATTGCCCGTGTAGACGGACGAGCATACGGCTACCTGATGGTGAGTGGTTACCGTTGCCCATGGACTTCAGCAATGCCAGGGGCATAGCCAAGCCGCTGGCTACCGAAAGTCGAATTTGAAGTCGTCGTGGCCTAAAGGTAAGACGTCCGGTGCATTTGCATGCTATTAATCCAATTAAATACGTACTTAACAAATGTTCACGATTGACTTCCACGGTGAAGGCATAAATATCATGTAATAAAACGAAAACCCGCGAAATTATAATTTGCGTGATTACTGGTGGCAGGACGTCTTGTGAGTCCGCAACATCCTTAGCCTCAGGTAGGCCGTGAGTACGTCAATCCATCTAAGCAATAAAAAAATAAAAATAAAATTGATTTTTATTACGCGATGCAATTCCTGCGTCGTGGAAATCATTCGTTAACACTAATTTAAAGAGTATATTTAAAAAAAAATTGGTATTGGTCTGCGGGATTCGAACAACCGCTCATCGCATCGCTCGATACGGTCACTCTGTCTTATCTTTTAGGCCACGACGACTAACGTCTGGCGTTTGGGTAAATAACTAAAAAGAAAAACCATTGCGTGTGTATTCTCACCAAAGAGCAGTTGTGGATGAATTTCTGTTCGATGGTCAGCGTTGCTGCACCTATGAGTTTATTAATGCGCGTGTCCTCTATTACGGTCACATAGTAACCGCCCGAGTGTTTCATCTTAGTGAAACGGTCTGAAAGACAAATATGACATTATGCAATTGAAAGCGAAAGTTGGGAACAAGTCGTACACCAAGCGTAATATAGAAAGTAAATTCGACAGTACCACCTAATTTTAAACTAGCTTGATAAATGTGGATACATACATACATAATTATACTACATACATATTTCTGTTTGAGTTTCTATACGCATTTTATGTTAATTACATGAAATTATTGCTAAAGTAATCAAGGTTTTTTGCCGTTCTCTTCAATTGAGCCAGGAATGTCATATATTCTTGATACTTGTAACTGAGTTAAATTTATTTCTCTCGGGAAGCGTAGACATAATTAAAACAATCTTTACGGTTTAAAATCGCGTCTGATAGACCGTCGTCTGCAACCACGAAAACTGTGAAATATTCAAAACGTCGTAAAATTCAAGAAGATTGTATTACGCAGGCGACAAAACTACGCAGATATTAAATACTTTAATGTACTTTTGATATCCTTCGACCAAAAGAAAAAAAAAACTACATTTAAGCTTCCATAATTACCACGGAAATTCGACATTTATATTATATAAATAGTATACTGTGGTATCACCATGTCGGTCAGTCGTAAAGGTCACTTATCAGACGGATTCTTGTCGGTATTTCAAGGTTAAATCAGACAATTTACAAAACTAGTTCCTTTTGTCATTTGTCTCGAATCATGTCGGCAAAAATTTAGATTCATACAAGTTTTTTTTTTTTAAATTGAGTATTGCACACGTAATGAATGTTGAATTCGTTTGTTTTTTTTTTGCAGATTTAATCTACTAAATATTACTATGACTTTTTTCAGACCACCTGTCCGCATCTTTGATTGCTCTTTTTAGGAATCTCTAGCGTTGAGTCTATTTATGAAATGGAAAGTACTTGCTCAGTGCACAATGATTTATCCAACTATTATTAATAAAAATGATATCAATTAGAAATATCACACTGCGTGTTATTCAGGAATGAAAAGAAAAATGCGTGCGAACATAAACTTCTATGAAAACGCTGTATGAATTTGATCAACCGAATGTCAAACAAAGACGATTCATGCGAAGTAATATCTAAGACACAAATGGCCGTGTTTAACCTATCATAAAACCATGGGCTCTTTGATCACATCACATCATAAGGGTGCCGCGATAACATGATATTATTATTAACAACTTTTAAAACCAATAAATTCTGAGTAAATTACCACACACACACACAAGACGCATTTACTGAGTATTCTCTTGTTTTAGTATTAAGAAAAACCATTAGTGGTCTGACAAGTATATCCCTTCATAATGTATAATAGGTCGTTTAATATTGAACAAAACTATAATTACACTATAGTGCGGTATGTATGTATAATCACTTATTACAATTATTGATACGTGGTATGATATCAGAATCTGTATAATAATTTGCATAAATTCAATACATAATGGTACTTAATATTTTTGTTTACCATCATACTGTTTTCTCGTAATATTTCCCACGCTTGTCAGTTGACTGAGGAGCTGCAGGAAACCCTTATCGTAATCAGAGCGTTGTAAAGGCCTCACAACCATCCAATCCTCGCCGGGGTCAACAGCACTGATTTTAGGATGAAACTTTGCTGGACTCTTACTGAAATCCAGTCTTTTTAATATCTCCGGAGGGTAAAGGTATTCGGAGAGTTTCCCTTCCTAGAAAAAAAATAAAATCCAATAAATGGTCAAACTTGTTAGAAACATCCCATTCTTAGGATGAAACTTCGCCGGATTTTTACTAAAATCCAATCTTTTTAATATCTCCGTAAGGTAAAGGTATTCGGAGAGTTTTCGATCCTAGTAAAAAAAATAATCCCAATAAATTGTGCAACTTGTTAGAAACATCCCATGCTTGCCATTGACGTTCACTACGGCAGTTATTTTTTAGTCGAAGTTTACAATATGATCTTGACTTAAATTTTCGTTTTAATTGAACACTATGTGTTTTTAAAATGTGATTGAATTGAACAGAAATAGTGAATTTGCACAATCTCAAAATTATTTTTATTAGCATCTAGATGCTAATCGCAACTTTTAATAACGTTATTAACACGACCATTCATCAATCATTTCCGATCATCGAATTAGCATAATATTAAATAGGAAGAATCCGGCAAAACCTGAATAGCGCTAACAACATTTACATCTATCTATCTATATACTTAGTCTGGCCATAAATACTGTTACAATTCAAAATTAACAAAATATTACATTTGAATTTGGAATCTGTCATTTTTATATGATTGCTCATTGAGTTTTCTCATTTTGGCGCCAATACATTGTACAATGTTTTGCGATATTAAAATGGTGTGAGATAGAGGTGAAGATAAAGAAAACCGAATCGCTGTGATTGCATTACACAAAGTAGGTATGGAGCCAAATGCAATTTTTAAAACTCTCCATACGCTTGGTATTAGTAAAATGTTTGTGTACCGGGCTATTAATAGGTGCAATGAGACCTCCTCTGTTTTTGACAGAAAAAGATCTGGCCGTCTACGTAGTGTTCGTACGAAAAAGGTGGTCAAAGAAATAAGGGAAAGAATTCGAAGAAATGCTGTCCGACAGCAAAAGATTTTATCTCGGGAGATGAAGATAGCACCTAGAACCATGTCGCGTATTTTAAAAGATGACTTAGGACTTGCAGCCTATAAGAGACGGACTGATCATTTCTTAACTGATCATTTAAAAGAGAATAGGGTGGTAAAATCGAAACAACTACTGAAGCGGTACGCAAAGGGAGGTCATAGAAAATTTTTGTTTACGGATGAGAAATATTTTACAATTGAGCAACATTTTAACAAACAAAATGACCGTATTTATGCTCAAAGCTCTAAGGAAGCTTCCCAATTAGTCGACAGAGTGCAACGTGGGCACTATACTACAGTGATGGTTTGGTGGGGTATTAGCTATGAAGGAGTGACTGAGCCATACTTTTGTGAAAAAGGTATCAAAACATCGGCACAAGTGTATCAAGATACCATTCTTGAGAAGGTAGTGAAGCCCCTTAACAACACCATGTTCAATAATCAAGAATGGTCCTTCCAACAAGACTCAGCGCCAGATCACAAAGCTCGGTCTACGCAGTCTTGGTTGGAAACGAACGTTTCGGACTTCATCAGAGCTGAAGACTGGCCGTCGTCTAGTCCCGATCTTAATCCGCTGGATTATGATTTATGGTCAGTTTTAGAGAGTACGGCTTGCTCTAAACGCCATGATAATTTGGAGCCCCTAAAACAATCCGTACGATTGGCAGTGAAAATTTTTCCCATGGAAAGAGTGCGTGCTTCTATTGATAACAGGCCTCAACGTTTAAAGGACTGTATTGCAACCAATGGAGACCACTTCGAATAAGCTTTTTAGACTTGAAATTGTTTTATATTTATGTTTTAAACTAACACACTGTAAAAGTAATAAATGTTATTTGCAATGGATTTTTTTTTATTTTTGTTGTAACAGTATTTATGGTCAGACTAAGTATATATAAAAATGAATTGCTATTCGTTAGTCTCGCTAAAACTCGAGAACGGCTGGACCGATTTGGCTAATTTTGGTCTTGAATTATTTGTGGAAGTCCAGAGAAGGTTTAAAAGGTAGATAAATATGAAAATCCTCGGAATTAAATAAAAATAACAATTTTGTTTTTTCTTTGATGTGTCCCCCGTCGGACGGATTCCTTTTGTTTGTTTTAGTTTATTTTATACAAAAGTTTAGGTCTTTTATTTATCGATTGAGGCACTACGAAGTCTGCCTGGTCAGCTAGTAAGTCATAAAAATACCAAACTACAACTTCGGATCATTGGTCTACCCAAAAATATCCTTTCGGTGGAAGAAGCCATTCGCTATCAACTAGTGACTTCCGATGAAGCAACTGAAGCCGCTACACCATACCTACACGACATTTCATCAATATAGATCAACGTGGTTGGGTCAACTTTTAACTAAATTCACGCAATCCATCCCAATCTTTGACATATACCGCCAAACTTTTCGATACCCGGTTGGAACAGCGCCCCTAGCGGCACACAAATTGGAGTTAACTTTTACGCTATCGAGAACGTTAAAAAACTCGCACTAAGCACACTGGTAGTCGAACCAGCCGTAGATGGGTTGTAGGTACCCAAGCAGATTTTTATTAAGCTATATCGCATCGTTGAATAAGTAATAATAACTGTCTGCAAGACTTAAAAATCGGAATAATCGCTGCACTTGACTTGTCATGACGCCATGACCTTTAGGCCAATTCGAGTTTTACGGTGAGAATATCAATAACATTTTCATTTTATTTATAATGACACAATTAAAATGATTAGATTCAATGATAGCTTATCTTGAAACTCTATAGATATTTCTTTCTGATATCGGAACAAACAGAAAATCTAAATTAACGTCCTGTTCTAATATTGATAATAAATTAAAGAACATGCTTATCATGTTTAAGCAACACATTTAATAAAGTTAAATTAATTACTAAATATATTTTAAATAGATACTAAAATATGGAAACTTCCATATTTTGATCTATGGCACAGTAGTTACTGTCAAATATGTATAATGTTACTGGTGGTGGGATCTTTTGTGAGTCTGCGCGGGTAGGAACCACCGCCCTGCCTATTTCTGCTGTGAAGCAGTAATGCGTTTTGGTTTGAAGGGTGGGGCAACCGTTGTAACTATACTGAGACCCTAGAACTTATGTCTCAAGGTGGTTGGCACATTTACGTTGTAGATGTCTATGGGCTCCAGTAACCACTTAACATCAGGTGGGCAGGTGGGCTCGTCCATCGACCTAAGCAATAAAAAAAAGCATATTCCAAATATGCACTATGTTTCAATTTTACTGCATAGGGCCTCGCAATATTCGACTGGTTTGTAAGGAGAATGGTAATAACTATTCTCCTTACAAACTTACTCCTTACAAAATCACAATAGCGATGATTAGATTATCATAAATATTACATAAGAAAATCAATGAAAGGGTATTCAATTTTACATAATCACATAGCTTGTTTCAAATACTATGGCTTCACAAGAAAAAATATTATATGGTGCGTATGATCATTATTTGCATATAATAGTGTATTTAATGGAAAAAAAGGAATAAGCAGCACAGTGTAATATGTATTACATATATTTTTAAAATAAAAAACAAATATTGAACTAATCTACATAAAAACATAACAAATATCCCACGTATTGTTAACAAATTTGAATTCAAATTTAACATTCAGTGTTACAATCCTATTAATGGTAACAACTATTTCAATAAGATTTTTTTAAATGTATTAAGTATTTTATTATTAGTTTTGTTATTATATTTATTAACATTAATTACTTAATTGGGGAACCATTCATTCTTAAGTGGACAATAGCTTTTTACTCTGTTAAAGATCATAACCATAGAATCCACACAATATTCCCAGATTATCCTGTTTGATACTGGTCTTATTACTTGACGGCCTCGTTTTATTTGCCCAAGTAACTACTGGTCTAGTTACGATAATAGCCAAGATGTACTCAAAAAATACAAAAAAAAAAATTATTACATACCGCATTTCCGTTCTTTTCCATGCCCATTTTGTGGTTTTTTTTTAATTTATTTGAGTATTCAAACAGACATTTCTATTTTATACTTGCCGATACCGATTCTATTTAATTACAGGATTGTCGCTGTACGACGTGGCTTTGAAGAAATAAATCGTTCGGCAAAGTGAAAGTGACGAGCGGCAGCGGTGACGACCTTGCAGCTTGTGTTGTTTCCGTCACACATGTATTCGCCTCACGAGCAAAGAGATTTCAACTGTAATTATATGAGTTCAGGTTTTGAAATTACATGTAAACTAGAAGACATTTTCGGATGAAAATTATATTTATGGCTTGTTTACTTTCCATTTCAAATGTCGTAAGACTTTGACATTTGATTGATTTTTGACATTAAGTGTGTTAAATAGGTCTATGGTTAATAAATATTATCTATGTTTTTTACTATCTATGATTAAACTTCTAACAAGTGGGTACGGGACTTTTTGGCGGGAACGCGAAAGGTGAAGTTGTTTGATTTGTTTTATTTTGTCTGAAAATGAAACAAAGCCGCTGGACGTAGCTTCTCGGGATCTTTCAAAAAGTCCACTGAAAAAATCTCAGTAAATAACCACCATTCAAATGTAATCTCAGTAAGCTAAGTTATATATGATTATATATAATATTATATATGATTACAACATAAATATAATCTCAGTTTACTGAGAATTTTTATATTAAATTAAATTAATTTATATTAAATATAATCTCAGTAAACTGAGATTAGTTTAATTTTTGATCTACATAAAAAATAATTAGACAGTATACAGTAAACGCACTTGTTTACAAAACGCTAGTAAATACGGCCATTGCCAGTTGACTGACAAAACCGGCGCATGCGCAATGTAGGCGTGAGGTGATGGTTTATTTATTAGATATAAAATAATTCATAATTGGGAATTTAGTTGTTTTTATGATCGAACAATCACGAATAGTCGTCAAACAAATGATAATTGATCAAAATTAATTAATCTGAGGGATAAAAATAAAGATATCTAGTAAAAGGAGCCGACTTAAGGGTGATCATTTGTTTAATTAATTATAAATAAAAAACAAAATGTGTGCAATTCACACGTGGTAGAAGTGAAACCTTCCAAAATTAAAATACAATTATCCTAAACGTCTTAAGTATATGTAAAGTTTTGTCATTAGTAAATAATTGTAAGGTAGCGCCCTCTGTGAATTGATATTTTAATTTCACGTATAATTCTAAATTAAAATTCACTACAAGAGCTTTCATACACACGTTAGTATTAAAAAATCTCACAGATGGCGCTGTATTAAATAGTATGTATATTTCTGTCTCATTCTTTGCTGGCTTCATCCTACACATTTTTGTATTTGTGTCTCTTACCTGTCGTTTTTTCCGTTGCATCCGGTTTGAAATCACAACGATTCTAAAGAAGTTTTCACTTCAA